AAGTGCTCCAGGAGGCTCTTCTGGCTCCTCCTGACCCTGGCTCCAATCGACTTACATTGAGACTTATATTTTTTTCGTTATGTTTTCAGTCAAAAAAATCCTATTCATAACATAGAGTTTGGCTCTAGATTCGCTCCTGTAACCGTGAGCATCGCGAGCCTCATTTGAGCATCGCTGAAAGCTATGGGTGACATCACACTCGCTTAGTCCACTTCTTTTTTACAGTCCATGTTCAAGATCTGGAGATGAGTCTCTGATCCTGTCAGATTGCCACAACGGCACTGAAGAATGGGTCAAAAGCAGAGGGCAAATTTTCCTACAAGGTCAATGACGAATACTTTAACTTTATTTTTAAACCAAAGAAACACTTCCTTAAAAAGAGTATATATGTTGACATTTAGTTATACACAATCTTTTTAAGAGGATGTCAAGAAGCCAATGTGCATAGTACACTGTGTGCCTGCCCTTTAGTTTACCAGAGGAATCACAGAGTTGAAAATGAACTCCTCTCCCACAGACTGCAGTGCCACTGTACATTAGAGAGCCTTCCCTCTCCTCATCATTCATGTGGAAAGCGCTCGCACCAGCAGCCCTCCTCGCCTCCTTCTTTTATTCATCGCACTGTAAATAACTCCACTTTATGAAAAGCAGCCACTGTGACTCACCGATACCTCTCTTAACCACAAGCCATTATTATTTCATGGCCTTTGAAAAGAAGGGGTCTACAGTACGCCAGCCGCTCGCGCACTCTCCCCTCTGATGTTGTGTACTACATAGCAGGGCCCATGTTGCTCTCCCCTCACTTGAATTCACAAACACTTCCAAGTGCATAAATAGCATAGAGGAGCAGAGGAGAAAGAGGGGCCTCGCAAGTGATGGCTAATGCTGTGGAACGCCATTGCAGACGAGATAACAGGCGTCTGCTATGGCTCAAGTGTCATTGGGGAGGAAGTGGAGAAGTCCTTTTATGAAAAATGCTGTTGTTTGGGGCCTCTCATGGGACATCATATGGTAAAAAGAACATGCATGAGCGTTACGACTAAATGACCAGCGTCGTCCCCGGGCACCGGCTTGGAACGTGTAGAAGGCTCCCAGCGTTCAGACGGGCTAATGGCCAACCTATTGGTCATGGTACAGTCAGTTTGAATGGCAATGAGGATGTCAGAGCTGTACTGTGTGCGGGGGGCTAGCTAACATGACCGACAAGGTGTGGTAGGCCTGCTGGAGTTGATTTAGCCGCACGGGCCTGTCATAACGTTTTACCAGTCAACATCCATCAATCCAGAGCTAAAAAGCCCTGTGTGTTTTTTTCCTCTTTTGAAGTGTCAAAAAGCAAAGTAAAGGCAAGAAGATGGATGGAAAGTGCAGTGTGTCTGATGAAATCTTTGTTTCTCTACATGATGCTGAACGTTAATAGTGGTAATAAGCCAGATGTGTTTTTGTGCTTTTACACAAGCATGACAACAGAATTAACAATGTGGTCGGTGTCAGAGCCACTTTAAGAAAGTCAAAGCTCCAGGGCAATGGGCAAAGAATGGGGGTTTAATACTGAATATTTTTAAAAGCAACAGAAAAGAAAAAGCACTGGAAACCAAAGACCTCTGCCAAGGCAATGGTACAATCCTGCAATAGTGAAAAATACACCATCCTGACACAGATAAATGAAGGACTTATCATTGGTAAAATTCAGTTAGATTCATTTTATTTGGGCAACAATATCTCATTTGGCAGAGGGTTCGTCCACTGATTTGAAGGTTGGCAGCTTGAATCCAGCTCAAACATATGAATGCTGTTGTTGTGTCCTTGGGCAAGACACTTAACCACCCTCCTCTGCAGTGTCTGCGTACACTGGTGTATAAATGTGTGTGTGAACGGGTGAGTGGTTCTTTGATGTGAAGTGCTTTGAGAATCTGCAAAAGCACTATATAAAAATCTGATTATTTATTTACCAGTATATATGTTTTGAAATTATATTATTCATTTATTCTATTTATTCTTCATTTTAATTACTGTGTGTCAAAATCATAAATCTGATAATCAATGCACACTACTTTTATTTTACATGCAGTAATAGCTACAGTTCCAAAGGGGTGACCAGTCTTGTCCTATTCGTCGAAACCCTTTTCTAGATGCCGTGTACTAGAAAAGAACACGTGTATTAAAATTTAATTGTGTCTATAGCCTCACAGCACTCGAGATTATTTCTTGTATCTTGAACACTTTTGCACTAGTCAGTTTTAGTAGTGTGTTTTTGGTTGAATATATGATTGTTAATGCCAGGGCTGCCTGCTTTACGACCTCTGTAAATGGTGTTTACATGTTTGGTGACTAAAAAACTCAGCGAACCTAAACTTGAGAATGAATTGTTTGTTTTTTGCCTTGGTAAATTGTAGTCCGCTCTACTCTACACCACATACTTGAACAGGATCCAGCCATTCAATCCTATCACATATTTTCTGCAAGAGATTAAGAGGAGGTGAAAGAATAGACTCTTTGATACAGGGAGGTAGACAGTTGCTTTTCAAATTTCCAAGTTTTGGTCCTTTATTTTATTCAGCAGTGAAATGCCATGGATACAGAAAATAATATCGCCTTTTACAATTCTCAACCATGACCTTCTAATGTCTGAGAACCTTATGGACACAGTACACAGTAATGAAGAGTATCAAAAGAATGTATCTCAAAACAAAAGGAAAATAAAAAACTGAAATAAAGTATTCACCAATTACATAAACATATTTCTGCTACAGTCCCAATTTACTGTATACATATGGGGGTCCGATTCCCAATAATTCGAGAAGGATAGCAGTAAAAAGGATACATGACTCAATTGCCAGACATAATGCTTGATAAAGTATGCACAGAGGTACAAGCAATAAATACACACATTAGGTTAAGCCAGCTACGCAAAGCAGATGCAGAAAAAGCAGGTTTGCTATTCTTAGCGAGCAATGAGAGAAAACAGTAAAAATTCATCAGAAAAGAAACACAGATTTTTTTTTCCTCTTAGAAAAAAGTCTGGTAAATTTTATGGGTCCACCAACATTTTTACATAAGTATGCACAGTTATCAAAATACAGACAAAATCCAGAAAAATCCACACAATCCTAAAGTCTAGTGGAGGAGCAGATCGCAGTTCTGGAGGTCTTTCTGGTATCATGTGCAAGCAACTATTTTAGACATTTTTTTTACTTAATTTATACAAAACCCATGCAAATCTACAGGTAATATGCATTCTGTGGCTGACAGGTTTCCATCCCTCCCATAACAGTTTATCTGAGGTACTCTGAAGCATTGTACGTACACATAGGCCATCGTCCCAAAATGTTTTTAAGTATGAAGCTCTATTATTATTTGAGTTCCCAGTCCACCAAATGATTTTTAGACATGCATTTTTAAAACACAATATTCCCTTACAAGTTACTCTATACATTATCGCTCTACAAATGCTCAACCCTAATACAATGCAGATCTTTCCACATCTTAACTCCGGGAATGTAAACTTGGTATTTTTTGCGAGCCACGTTCCTATATGAGACAAGTAGTATTATAAAGTGTAATATCGACAGTTTTTGAGTGGCGCTTTGAGAATAACATCGTGCAATCTGTGGTCATTGTTCTGAATTTGTTTGGTGCAGAGGTAGAAGCCAGTTTTTTTTTTTTTTTCTTTTTGGGAGAGTGGTACAAGAACCCTTTTTTGTATTTTTTTTATTTGTCAAAAGACGCAGCGTCCTTGGTTATTTGGTGTGGTAAGTTTATTATTAAGAACGTCGTCTTCAAGTGGTTCTGCGGACTCCAGCTAAGTACAGATGGGATAAGCTTTGTTCCTTTGTGACTGTTTAGTTCGTATGTAAATAAAGTGTTGTGCAATACTGTGCAAAAGTCTTAGACACTCACAAAGGCAGAAATTGAAATCTGAATCTTAAAAGTCTAAAGATAATCTGGTCATTGAAAATTAAAAGTCCACGTGGTCTTTAGGTGAGTGAAGTTAGTACCTTCTTTGGGCAAAATTGTGTATAGGATTCCTCAAAGCAACACCATAAAAAAATATAATATTAAAAATAAAATACTATACTATATAATACTAATACAGCAATCTTAAGTTAGCTGACAAAATTTGGGATAAATTACTAAAACTTCTGCACAGTACATGTGTTGAATTAGTGCATTGTAATACTGTTTTGTGTAGTGTCAGTTATTTTGGCTAAAACAACATCCGCACAGTGTTTTCCTTTTTGGTCAGAGCACCATTCACTTTGCTCATATGTGCATCTGTTGCTGTTACTATTTTAAGTTAGTGTGTGTGCGTGTGAATCTCTTTTGTTCTGTTGTGTTGTTGTATTTCCTTATCCCATCCAAGAGGAGGCAGAATTTTGTGTAACTTTGGTTTACTGAAAACAGAAATGACCCTTAAAGCAACAACATTTTTGTGGATGAGTGAATGAGTTCGCCAAGACAGACTGCCCTCTCTCTGGTCTCCTGTATTAAAAAGCAGGCCCTGTACATAAATAGTGGGTTTATTTTCTACCGTGAGTGAATGTAATGAGAATCAGATGAATTTAAAGCAAATATCACCTCAGAAATAGGCGACCTTTGACCTTAGAGATCCCCGTCTGCATGGCTATAATTAATTGCTTTGACACTGTAACCAAGCCATCATGACTTATTTGGCTTCACTAGATATTTTTTAGTTTGGTTAGTGGTGTTTTTAGGTTTTCTACAACGCGGTTCAGAACATAAAACGCCCCACTTTACATCACCAGAAAACAAATTTTAAAAAAGGAAATTAAAAAAATAAATAAAAAGTAAACACTGATGTGAATGTGTGATGCATAGAAAAAATAAAAATCTTACAACAACACAATGACTCTGCACTTCCATTGAATACACAAATGTTTTGTTTTGGTCATAATCCACTTTTTAGCTGCGCTCTACCAGTCTAATCAAAAGTCACATCACTTTTTAACCTACAATACATCTGGCAGAAAACCTCCCCTAGTCTCCCAAGTGGACAGTCAAATTACACATCAAAATGGTACCTCTCTCTTTGTCTTTGTATAGGGCTAAATGAAACGATCCCAGAGGTTTTGTCGAAGGTAGTTAGCGGAACAAAGCTTCTTCTTCTTTGTACTAGTTTAAAGTTACAGAAGACGGACCAAGTGGAGTTTGGTGGCTTCTGTGGATAAGCTATTGGCCATTGCTAGTGTTGGCTTTGGTTTCTAGCTGTTGCCTGTGACTGTTTGCAGGTAGACAAAGCTTTCGAACAAGGAGGTAAGAAGAACAGCGAGAAAAGGATGCAGAAATGCATTTGTTTTGTAAATGGTTTGTTAAACGTTATTTTTCCTTCAGCTTTTTGACTAAATCGATCATATGTTAAAGATAACCCTTTTTCACTTTTTGTCTCTTTTTTGGACATCTGCAAAAACAGTCTTGGTACCGCCGCTCTGTGTTTGGGGAATGGCATTTACAGTTGGTGGTGCTGAAATGTATCTGGAAATTATAATAAAAAGCTGAAAATAATAATAATACTGTTTTATAATAGCAACATACAGGCAGTGACACAAAATCTGAGACTACTCCTGTGCAAATGAGAACAGAGCAACAACTTGAATTGAACCAGCAATTGTCTCTAGACATTAACAACTACTGTGGGTTGGATTATTCACAAACATAAAACGTCTTCCTTTTTGGCAGTATATGAGGCCGCTAGCTTTCAGCTCAACATGTTTTGTTCATTTGCGTTTTTCCCGTTCATAAGTCCATCTTTATCCTGTGTGGCCACGCCATCTCTGTAACAGAGTCAGTTTGTCAGACATTTAATGCCTGTGTTTGGGCTGTCCAGAGGGCTGCCGGACAGTTCCTGGGGACAGTTCCTGGGGACAGTCTCCATCCGGATGCATGCTCAATAAATAGTCCGAGTGGTGCGAGTCACTGTGGTTGTGTGGAGTGGTTTTAGGAGGTCTGTGAGAAGTGTGGCCGGTGGAGGGACACACACACGGGCCCTAGTCACTCCAGGTCCTGCCCTCCTCCGATAAGTTCCCCTCCTCCAGGTCGCGCTCCTCCTCCAGCTCTGGACTGTGATTGGCTGTCGTCACCAGTGACATCGGACAGTCCTCATCGTCCATGTTGAGAGGCTCCTCCTTCACGTGAACCGGAGGCCTGTGGGCGAGCACAGTTACAGTTACACATTTTATTTGATTTATCCATTTTATGACTTCATTTAAATTCATTAAATACAGATGTTTCTTTTTGCACATTTCTGAATTGCATTACTGAAATCCCTTTGTATAAAGACTGGCCTAACATCCATTACATGCATTATCTTTCCCCAAATAACAAGCATGTTGTTTGGCAGACACTAATTCGACACGATGCCTCATGTCTACTGTAAGTAAGTGCATCAAAATTGCATGAAAAACAGGGCCCCTGTAAGGCCGATAAGCTGTGATGTTCCAGACATGTTTGGCATTTAAAAGTTTACTGATGACACCAGGTTGAAATACATGAAAAAGAAAAAAGGGAAAAAAACAGGCCACATGATAAATAATGGAGAATTTCTCATCCCTGATCCCCCTGGAGCAAAGGCAGAGGAGAGGCTTTTTTATCTAGTTAATAGAAAGCACAGCCACTCGTTAATATGCAGGGGCTGTGCGTGTCGCTCCTCAAGAGGAAAAACCGGCAGCTAGGTTCTGCCATTAATCAACTTCAGCTGCAGCAGTTGGCTCGGACACCATGATACATGTTTTTAACTCCAAATGGATGAATATCTTTAGCCACTGTCAATAAGCAGCGGGCAAGAGCTGGACCGCTGTTCTCCGGACGCCCTCGCCTTCACCACAACACAGGAGTGGGCGGAACAAGTGGTGTAGGGACCACTAACAAGAATAATAACACTGTCACATACAAACAAGGCACACTGTGATCCAGGGCCCGAGTCGCGAGAGGGGTTTGTGCCACGATGATAAATCTGACAAAACCTAATTATTTCTGACACATCGGATGCATCAGAAAATCCCCTCGGACTTTGAAGGAGAGAGGGGAGCGGGGCAGTGTGTTAGGACGCGCCTCGTAGCCGCTCTCCAGGGCTGTCTCCACCAGCGCGAAGGGAGGAGGAGGCCCTTTGAATTTGAAAAGAATTTAAAAAGGTACAGATGACTTTTATATTCACAGCCAAATAGTGTAAATTAATATTCTGATGTGGTGGGACGAACAGAGGAGGCAAATCTCAGGATGCACGAAGCGTTATGAAAATTTCTGTTTGTGAGAGCAGATTCACACTGGCATAAGGCAAAGGGGAAGCACCTCTGGGTTATACACCTGCTGACCTGGCACTATAGAAGGAACTATAAAAAAAAAATTGGTTCATATGATACTGCTTGAGTGATACCAATAATTGGAAAAAAAAATAAAATAATAATAAGATAAAAAAAAAAAAACATGATTTACCATACTTTTATGAGCTGTTGTTTTTGTACCATTTAGAAATCATTATCTCATTCTTACAACGCAAAATTACTTAAAAAAATGTAAAATATAAAAATTGAGAACATTTTATTTATTATTAATTGCTCATCTTTTTACTACTAATAAAAAAATATTAACAATAAAATATGATTTATTTCCTATGTGCATAAAAAAATAAAAACCTTGTGAGCTATCCAATTTGCGAATATGCTAATGTTTTTATTACTTAATTCAACTTGTAATGAATCAATAGATTGCACGGGAAAAATGCATATTAATATTTATTTGATTAAACAGTTTTAAAGAACTCTACTTAAATTAACAGAATGTTGATTCAAGTGGTTTTAGATGAAAAACATGGATCTTTCATTTAGTCAAATTGCAGTTATGCTCAGACATAGTTTTACGCAGTGGTCCAAATCAAAAAACATTGATAGTCCTCGACCAAACGCGTCACCCTGCTAAATCGTACTAGCGGCCTGTATGACAGATCAGGAAGCTGCAGTCTTGTTCGCTCCCGCTTGCTTTTAATATGCAGCTCATTAGGTGTTTGTGGGGCTTTGAAGAGAAATATGCAGCGCCACATTCGCCTGACACTTTATTAAAATATGTGGATGAGCCATTTAGTACTTAATAGCCAACTGCCATTATTGAGTCACTCAGGAGTAAACGCCGGACTTTGCGCCGTAATAAATATGATCTTTGTGTGTGTGTGGATGCAGCGGTCTCGCATCAGTCGAAGATTAGCACTAGCAATCATGCAGAGGTATGCCAGGGATGCAAATAAGGTCATTAGTCCGGCGGTGTAATGGTGGATGGTGGGCTGGGGGCATGTTAGAAAGGTGCGGCGGGTGAGGGAGCGGAGGGGGGGCGAGAAGGTGGGGTGGGGGGGCAGGAAGTCGAAGGCGAGGAGATCCATGGGCACAATCAAAGAAGATCTCACCAAGATTCATTCATTAACTCGGACCAAAGATGGAGGTCAAGACACAATTAGGCCTGACAGAGCTGGTCCTGCTTGTGAAAATATGGCGGCTTCAAGTAGATTTTTATGCGCTTTATGCTACAGCAGAGGCTAATAAGGCTTAAATGGATTTTTCAAAGCACTTAAATATTGAACATTTCATTTTCAACAGTTTACAACACCTGGCTGTAGAAACAATTATGTTATGGGCTGTGCTTTGTTATAATTTCATACATTCAATAAAAGTAGATGGCACGAATGATGACACATCTTTTACTTTTTTTATGTTTTCATGTTGATGGTAGCGCAAGACAATTTATTAAGTACTACAATACACAGTCTAAACATGGTCTTTTTGCCTGTTTTAGTTGAGTTTATTTGAAATAATCTGATGAAACTGCGATTTAAAATATGCAAATTGTGATGAAACATATCGACTCATCAGCACCCAATCTTAAATCTTATAATGGTGCTATCGAGTATGATTTTTCAAAGGTTTTAGAAGCAAACAAATGCATTTAAATTTTGTATTCCATATGATTTTAAGTCGATTTTCTCCCTTGTAAAAAGCTCAAGCGATAAAGTGCTGTTTAATTCACTTTCCCTGTATAAGAGAGCATTTGGGTTTGAAGTGTACCCCTAAGGCTGAACATGTAAACACGCTGCCAAGCATGGCCCGGGGCGATCTGGTTTGGGCGTGAGCAGATAGCATTAACCTTTGCACTGGGGGGGCAAACCCAAAGAGAACATAGTCTAATTGCTTGGATTTACTTGCTCATACCGACGAACCCCTCTCATGAGAAAGGCCTTCAAGGTGATGTGCTATTTAGTTTAGTGCTACAAGCCATTCCATTATTTAAAACCATCTCCGGTCATGGAAAACACATTTCTTCCATTTTGAGGTTGTCGTGGCTGTGTACAGGGAAGCGAGGGTGGGGTCGGGGAGAGGGAGGGCCGGTGTGACGGGTGCATCTAGCCTTACTCGACCAGTCATGTCAATGTGAAAGCTATCCGGACTAAACAAGGGGACTGAGCTCTCGCTAAAAGTTTAAAGGACTTCTGGGAATGGCAATGCTCGGATTCTGTCTGGAGCTGTGCAGATTTTGCTTCACTTAACTCCCCGTTTCAGCGGTAAACACGCCCTAATAGATAAATGTATAGAGATGTGATAAACATTACTTTGCTCTCATGCGGACACAGCGCTGCATTCTTTCTCCATTTCCAAGTACTTTGTGAACACGGCATTGTGATGGGCAGCAGATACGCGTTATAAATGTATAATTTCTAAGTGTTTGTCTCTTTAAATGGGCACTGTGCAAGCTTGGCCCCACCATCACTACGGTCTGGCCCAGATCTTGTTTTTTCCCTCACAGTGGCATTACCAAAGCGATGGCAAGCGAGCGGAAGAGATTTAAAAAGTAATTAATGCTACGGCTGCTAAATATTAATAGGAACACCCCTGCATAAAATATAGCAGCTAAAGCCCCGTAATGCATACAAGGGTGTAATTAAAGAAGAATGTGTGATCTGGACTATTTATAGAGCAGAGTTAAGCGCGATTCAAAACATCAGAATCACCTCTAGAGCAGTGGAAAGAGAGACAAGCTGTAAATTGAACCTTGCCCTCAGGTCCTTGCAAACCCCAGAAAATACAGCTACTGTGGGTTAAATATCAGGCAATTAAACTAACAAAGGGCACGAGGATGGTAAGTGGATTCAGAGCAGGGCGGAGGGGATTCGAAAGAAGGGCTCATAAAAATGTGAAGTGAGAGAAGGTACGACAGAGAGATCCAAGGTGGTGCAATGAGAGAATCAAGTGCAGTAGGTGTTTAAACTGTACTGAGTGTATAAAAAAATCTATACAGATACTAATTGATTATAAAACTAGTATTGTAACATATTAATTTGAAGTACAGATACTGACAAAAAATCACATACACTTGATAAAGTTGGATCTTTTCTGAGTTTTTAATGATCTTGATCAATCTCAGAACTGGTTTTAGATCATATGGTACTACATTGTGTTGAAGTGGTACATTATATAGTGTTTTTATTATTACTGTAGTATTAAAATTGCTAGTATCAGGCCTTTTTTATAGTATCAAAATTTTGGTTTGACTGTGACATTATTGTAAAAGCTGGAAGATGCTATAATGCCTGACTTTTGCTGTCTAATGGTCTGGTATGGTGAAAGCTGTGGTTGCTCTACATATTCTTTATAAATAAGTGTGATTATAAGGTTCATAATTTGTAAATAAATGAATTTTGAGATACGTGCATTAATACCGCTACACACTGACAACGCAATACAGTATGGGTGCACTCACATGTGTACAGGTGGGGAGTACCCGGGGCTGGAGTGTCCGTTTGTGTCCAGGTGGTCGAGGGTCCCGTTGAGCTCCTCGTGTGCAGACTGCAGCAGAGAGGGGGGGCTGCCTCTCAGAGTACCAGGCGGGCTCCCTCCTAACAGACCAGGAGGACTGCCCCCCAAGAGGCCAGGGGGGCTCCCGGCCAGCCCAGACGGATCTCCACCCAGCAGCCCGTGACAGCCCATGGGCCCGGCGGAGCCACTGTTCATCAGAGCAGGGTTACCGAGCAGAGGGAGGGAGGTCTCTGCCAGAGCCGCCTGCAACAAGACAGAGTGCAACTTTAGATTGTACAGCTTTAAATAAGGAAACACACAACTGCAGATTAAGTGATTTACATAGAAACTGTTGAGGTGGTAGTTGATCGAAACAAATCTCTCTAAAAAATGATGCAGACTCATATTCATGTACATTAAGGCTGCAACTAACGATTATTTTAGTAGTCGATTAGTCAGTACATTTTTTTATTAGTTTACAGTCAAACAATTATTTCTATTGTGTAGGGAGAGTTTTTTAATACATTATCAACCAAATACATGTTAAATTATGTTGACCGACGGCTTCAAAATAGATCAATATTTATATTTAAGTGTATTATTGATACATACAAAAAATCGGACATATTTTATTCTTTTTTGGCATTTTTATTCAATAATGCCACTGTCTTTGTATTTGTTTAGAGTCCAGATTATGATTACAATAAGCCAAATATGACTATGATTCATTCTTATTGTTGACCAGTCATGTTTAGTCCATTAATCATTGCAGCACTAAGTACAATTGTATAGTAAGTGCTACACAAGTGCTAGAGACTTTTTGTGTTAGTTGATCAAAACAACTCTCTCATAAACTCAAGGGATGATTCATGGCAGTCCTTCATATAATTAGTTTATTGTATTAGGTGTACAATAGACACATGAAATATATATTGAATGTCTATTGTAAACTACATCTATGTTGTAGAGACAGCAGACAGGTGCTTGTGACAGCTGTACAACTTTAGATTTGGAGAGAAATTAAGCATTGTGTCACAGAGGCGAGTGGGATTTCAACTGTGACTTTATGCAAAGAAAGATGACTGTTTGATTAAACTTAAACAAACATCGTCAGGGAGGAAGTGATGTCCGCAGCTAATAATGTAGGAGCAGACTAAACACAGAGATGCAGGTGTCAGGAAATGTTGAAGATTACTCAAATATTTAACAAAGTCATTATTAAAACACACTTGTCTCAGCACACATGATTTTATTCTGTTGCAAGCTATTTTCTCTCCTGAGACATTTTGCTGACAAGCGCCTCCCCCAGGTGCCATTCAGATACCCCTGTGTGTCGTGGCTATTAAAAAAGTCCCCCAAACTTTACCTCAAAATAATAAAAACTCCTGACACTTTCGCCTGCTGCGCATTAAAGTTATATACAGTGATTAAATTTTTAAAGTTTTTGCCATGAGCACCTCGTCGGTGTACACTATGAAGCCAAATCATTTATGACAGCTTAGATAAATATTAATGCACATGCCCTTGCATTTGCACATCCCGCTATCAATCTAGGAGTGTCTGCTGCAGCCGAGAGGAGGAGGAGAAGGAGGAGAAGAAGAGGGTGAACCGGTGTGGGATGGTTCCGGATTCGACCACATGGTGGCCTTGTGAGTCTCACAAGTGGAAGTGAGGCACACACAGGCAGATAAGGGAAAGGTATGAGGAGAGAGAGAGAAAGAAAAAGAGATAGAGAGAGAAAGAGACAGCGAGAGAGAGGGAGAGAGAAACAAAAAGAAAAAGAAAAAGAGAGAGAGAGTGGCAAACAAAAGGAATAAAGTCCAGTTTGCACATGAGGTAGGGCCATAGTAAACTAACGAAATTCAAAGTCAGCCCACAGTGAGTGGTTCTGGCACTGTACTTAAACCTATTCATTATCTCCATAAAAGTGCACTCAGAAGATCACAGGAGATAACACAATTACAAATATTTAAAGAGAAAACTACTGTAAAACAGAGTATTATCTGTTAAAAGGCAAATTAAATTCTTACTCACTCACAAATCTCAAGACAACTTACTATATCCTTTCTCTTTTCTGTTATTGTGAATATATATATGATATATGTATATATATATATATATATATATATATATATATATATATATATATATATTATATATATATATAAACAGAAAGAAAAAAAATGAAGAGATAAAAAAATACCCTCCCAAAATACTTAAACTTACCGTAAATACTTATACTTAAATATAACCTTTATAAACTTTTTTGGGGAGTTAATTAAGACACCATGGAAGAATTTTTCAATATTCCCACAATGTTGATCAACTAAACGACCAAAGGTTTACAACCTTAACTTGAAGAACAGTCACTGACGAGGTCTGTCAGTAACATACACACTGTACTATGTTATGAGTAAATACCTGTAAGCTGGCGTTTAATGCAGTTCCATAACCGAGACTGGAGGGCAGGTTCTTGACAAGTGAAGGGCTCCTAAACAACAAACAAGAAAGACAGGAAATGAGTTGGGAGTGCTCAAAGTGTACATTATTTTACAACAAGGACAAGCACATTTTTCCAATAATACAATCTGTACCGTGGATGCATTATGTCTGTATGTTGCATAATAAATAAGGAAATATATTTACAACAGTATAGCGAGTGCTTTACATACAAGTAGTGTTTTTTAAAAATGTTTTTTATTATTAAAAAATATGTCTAAGCTCTAAGGATTACAGACAGTATGGACTCAGAATTTATGTGTGCCCATATTCATTTACATTACTCATTAATGATGCATGTTAGTCCTACATATATTCTGTTTATTTTATGGTATGAAATGTACAAGAGACAGCTTAAATGTCTATTGTATGGCTATTATATTTCTATTGTATACTAAATCAGTGCAGTGGACAGAGCACAGTTTAGTTCTTGTGATGTTCTTTGATGGCAGCCCTCCTCCTCCTGCTGCAGTCTTCACACAGAGGGACACAGCCTTACCCTGTGATCTTCTGTGACCTGCGTTTCTGGTACTCCATCTCGTCCACAGTCCACACGGCGCCCTTCACGTTCTCCACTCGCACAAAGCACTTGTGCAGACTCAGGTTGTGGCGGACAGCGTTCTGCAGGCACAGATCACACAGGTCAGAGCAGGGGCTAAAATGAATCACTTTCACTCATTAACCAGCACAAAAAGGTCCCAGGAAATTGATTTTTTTCTTGCATTTTGAAGAATTTCTCAACATTCACGCATCATTGATTTAATTAGTAAAAATTGAGTGAGAGCGAATGCTCTTACAAGTCCTGCACACAGTACATATCAATCAGAGTAAGTAGGCTAAAAGGAGGTAATCAGCATAGCGAATGGCTTATGGTGGTGACAGAAGTGGTAATGCCGGCCTTGATAATGGTGATGTCAGTAACCCTTTATGCTCCACAAAAGCACTGCTCTTAATGGACATATCGCTGTAAAGATGACAGTAGAGCAGGAATAAAGACAGTCATCAGGAGCCTGTGAGTGTGTGTGTGTGTATGCGTGTATGGGTGTGTGTGTGCGTGCGCATGTGTGTGTGTGTGTGAGGGACAAGGGGCAGGTCCAGGATTAGCCTGATCTGGTCTATCTGACATCTGTCCAAATATGCTCCCTCACAGCAGCTGAGTACACGTCACAATTATATTTAACTAAAATGTATATAACAAACTGTCTATATCTGAATAAAAATCTTCTTCTTGTCTTCATATTTTAATATGCCTGCCTGTCCATAATTAAAACCTGCACCAAACCTCACAAATAATAAGCTCAGCTTTAATATAGCTGCTGTCCATATTTATCATCTGCATGGCTTTCTGTGTACTGCTCTTCCCTGAGAAAAAGGGATTCAGAATAAAAGAAAAAAACTCATAAGCAGATCTCGCATCTGACCTGAAAATCCCAGGATTTGATTGATCTTAATGCCCATGGCTCTGAATATGATAATTTTAATATTAATGAGCAAATGAGCAGTTTTATTATGCATGCTATATAGTTAGAAGTAATACGCTTCTGGAGAGAGAAAGAGGAGATGTGGGGCGGGGGTAGATCCCTCTTTTCAGCTGATGAGACCAAGCCTAGATATTAAACTACCTTTCATTTGGTTCTTTTTTCAGACAAATCCTCAGTGTTAATCAAATGACAGGCCCATTGCTGATCGTCGCACTAATGCTGACAAAGAATACTGTGGAGCCGCAAATGTAAATAGATCACCTTGGATATTGTGTGGGGAGGTGGACCTGTCTCAAGATATCTCTTTCTATTGTGGCAGGAGGAAAAACTTTTTTACCATTTTTATAAAACTCTAGAAAACCACAGCAAGTGTTCTGTGCAGTTGTGTTGTTTCTATAAATGTAACTCCTGCAGTAAACCTGGGTAGAAACATGTCCTGTCCAAATATACAGTGTACCTAACAAATTGGAAAAGGGCACTGCTCTTTTTTGCCTGCCCTCCTGAATTGGTGATCACACGCCCATGTGCTCATTTGCATCCCAAATCCAAATTAATTCACTTTGCTAAATCTAGTGCCGTGCCGTGGCTTGCATGCAGATGAGAGGGGCTGCAGTGTTCTCTCTCTTAACGCTCAACAAAGGCTAAAGGCGCTAACATTCGACGCACAGGGCCCATAGGATAAAACAGAGGGGACAGTGCAAAGACAGGGGCTTTCTTTATCAGCAAGCCTCCACACACCCGCTCCAATGCCTGACGCAGGGGGGCACATTTTTAACATCTTTGTGCGCTCGGACAGGATAATAAAGTTGTATGGACAGATTTACAAATGGGCTCTTTTGTGTAAGTAAATAAAGTATGTCTTTTTCATGACAGGCCAATTCTCACTTCCCTTCGTCTTTGGTTCCACGTGACCACCCCCTTAACCCCTGTCTTGCGTCTGTATGGGGTATTTGTACGCGCGGGCTGGATGCTACACCGTTCACGTGGCACAGAGCTGGTTAACATTCAAGCCGCCATCTTTCTTCCTAATTAACCAATGATATGCAAGGGAAGGTGGATCTGGGCAGCAGGAGGAGGGGTGATTCTCTTAACAAAAGGTGCTGATGATGGAGTGGCTGCTGTATAATTAGTGCGTCAGAGCCCTCTCCTCTCCACGCCAAGCCCCTGCTATTAATTGCACTAAATTAGAAAACGATATCTGAGGCTGAATAATTCTTTGGGCTGTCATTTCCAAACAGAAAAGGCGTAATGGTGGAAAAATAAATAACATGAAGAATGGGCTCTATTACGCCAAGAGGTTAAAGAAGGGGAGACGAGTGCTTGGAGCTTGTGACATGTTAATATCTGATTTCTAGTTTTGAGATAAAGGGGGTATGTATTCTGTGAAATAGGCACATTTGTGTTTGACTGCAATACATCTAGTTTTTTGGTCACCTGCACTTTAAGTAAAAAAATAAATTAAAATACAAATTGCACATCATATTATTTTAAAAACAAATACGTTCCATTATTTTTACATTTTTGATGCCTTCCTGATTTTCAAAGATTCTATATTCCGTGAAACTGACTCTTTAAGCCATGTTAGTATGTTGTTAACTCATCAAAACATACATGGATTTGTGTTTTGAGTAATCCTTTATTAGTCGTCTGTATACATCATAAGCTCCGAATGCTCTGTTCCACCTTGTGATGTCATGAAGAAGTAGTATTCATGTTAAAAGCTTTCACCTTTTATCTTATCTTATCTTAGATTTTGGCAATTCCAATGGGCTGAAATGATCCAAATGATTCTACTGAAGGTGTACGGAGTTTCATACACAGTGGAGCACTTCCTGAAACGCTGCATTACATCACAAGGTGGAACAGAGTGTTTTCCGTTTGGCAGAAGAACTCAAAATATGCAGAGTTTGTGTCAACGGAACAAAACAAAACTCCAGGTATGTTTTGGATGCGGAAACAACATTATAGCATAGATCAGAAAATTGTGTAATATGGCCCCTTTAAATATCATTTGTGGTTCCTAATTTGGCCAATGGATGACATCACATGCAAAGTGTAATCATCAGTAGATCATGCCTGCGGTCTGTAATGGTCCATGAGTGATAGGTCATGGCTGTGTGAGGTGAAAGGTGAAAGAGCAAAGTTACCTTCCAGGTGGCAGCATTGCGTCTGAAGTAAGCAAACGTGCGCGTGAACCAGCTGTAGATTTCATTTAGCGTTAACTGCATGTCGGCAGAGTCCATAATAGCCTGAAATGAGATGACATCAAATAATGGTTTACTAACGAGACTACATAACCAGCACACACACACAAATGGACCAAGCAGCGCACGAGAGAGCTGCCATGATTCATGCAGCAATTAATTTTAATCTAATCAGGCAAAGTTAATTTATTTCCCACTCACCTGTCTTATGAGGGTTGCATAAGTAAAAGGCGGTCTGACATCTGCGTTCTTATAAAACTCGTAGTTTGGGGCAATCTCTGGAAAAATAAATACTGTGTCACCACCTGAAATAATTGGTAAATTTTATTCCTCTAGGTATTGAAATTGCTCAAGGTTTCATCAAATTAAAAGGGGGAGGGGCAGAAGGAGAGAAACAAGAGGGGAGTGGGGGAGGGGTGAGAGAGGGGCACATCAAATCAACATTTTCCATGTCTAACAAAATGCATTTTTAATTAATCTCCCTCACGAGAGATCTTAAACACTAATACATCCATAAAATGAGATCCGTGTAGTTAGTTAGGCTGAACTTGAATAATTTATGTGTCTGCACACTAAACACTGCGAGTAAATATAAACATCAAAGACAGGCCGTTTAAAATGCAAAGCTCAATACACGGAATGTCTTAATGTAATAAATATTGTATTTTTAACTATTATTTGAACTTAATTAACATTCATGTAATATTTATGCATAGAGGAAGTTCATGTGTATTTACATATAGAGTGATTAAGCAGAGGCGTGCTTTTATAAACCCAATAGACATCTCTCACTGCGTTAGACCAACTCAAAGCTGGGTCTGTGACTGTTCATGTCAGCATGTTTCACTGATGCATGCGCCGCCATGTTTGTGTGTTTGAAATCAATTAAAGCCATTATCGGATGTGCAATATTTATAGTACAGTGCCCAGGGTGAAGGCAGCTCATTTGCAAATTCAACAAGTTTGTATAAGAAAATTTCACTGAATAATGAAAAATACAGAGTCAGCACATTTGAATTGCAGACTAATATTAAGGCACCAATAAGAATTTGTTAATGAGAGACTGAAGACTACTTTAAGGCAAATCTATAATGTCCACTGGGATTCACTGATCCAGCTTCTTCAGTTCCCATACTGACAACAATACTTTGGCTTTAGGTATCTGTCAACACCCAATATTAACTGATACTTGCATTTTATTTCATTCAAAACACAGTTAACTTTGCAAAATGTTTCCAGTACTGTTGTTTATCCAGCACGTAACTGCTGAATCCACTTATATAATGTAACTTTAATAAACTCTAATAAAAGACTAAAGTGAGAGATGTCAGAGTTCAAAGGTCAGTTGTCTATGTCCAAACAGACTGACCATCTGTTCATGTTTGTGTGTGCAGGTGCAGTGCTGAGTAGTTGGTCCTACCTGACGACAGAGGCATGGAGTATTTGTCTGCGTGACGTCTGCGCATAGCACCCATACTGGGCACGTTGGCCCCTCCCAGCACCGAGGGCACCTGTGGCATAGCGGCCATGGGCGTGATGGGTGCTGTGGGCGTGGTGGGTGTCTGAGGTAAGTTAGGGGGCGACGCTGAGGGCAGGTTCTTTGACATGGTGACACTAGACACCAAGTTTAGCTGCAGAGAGGAAGAGAGAAAGAGAGAGAGGGAGAAAGAGAAAGATAAGGAGGAGGAAGAGGAGAGAGAGAGTCAGAAGGAGAGAGAGGGAGAAAGAAAGATGGGGAGAGAAACAGTGAGGAAGGAGAGAAAAAGCGAGACAGAGAAAAAGAGTAAGAGAGAGAGAGAGACAGACAGTGGGAGAGAGGAGGAGGAAGAGTTATTTTGTGGTTCTCTGACAGAGCGAGAGTGTGTGCTCCGCTCTGCTCTAACACAGCTGTGTTTCCACTAACAAGGCTTGTGGAGAGGAGCCAGCCCATCGCCACTAATTACAACCACCAAATTGTATCATAAGAATTCTAATTAGAGCACGCTGTTCGAGATTATCCAACGATCAGCCGCCATGTTATCCTGGCCCCATCTCTCTTTATCTCTCTATTTATCACTCGCCCACAGCCACCCCCCTCCCTCCCCACTCCTCTCCACACAGTTCTAATCCTCCCACTCAAGCAGTAAGTCCAGAGAAGTCTTGTTTGCTGTAGATGTCAACTGGTCAGCGTGTACTAGTCAACCACAGTAAATAACTCCTGCCCTGCTCCTTTTGGGCTCCATCTGAAGTGACTCACTACTGGCTCACTTACTGGATCAAACACAAGGTTATTTTTCAAAGCAAACTACATATTTACTGGTGGGTATCAAATTTTGACTTGAATTTATGAAGTGTAAACCTCAATTTACAGAAGTGAAAACAAGTGCAATAATAGGAACAGAGGTGGATTTAAAGGTGCACTGTGTAACTTTAGGCCTATCGTATTGTTTGTCTTAATGTTCTGCCATATGATAGTAAACTTAACTATATAGCATGGATTCATTTATAGGTGTACATATTCTCCAAAATACCTTGAAAAGCATTGTTAGAGTAAGCAGGGTTGGCTTTCCACAGATCTGACCAGTAACTTGGCCTGGTGGCGACACATTCCATTCCAGACAAAGCAATAGAGCAGGTGGTTCACCCTCCTCCAGAAAAGTTCTACAGTGCACCTTTAACATTTTGTAATAAAATTCAAAACTCACCACATAAAATCCAAGAAAATGAAAGTTCTTATATTACGGAAAAACTGACTCTTGTGAGCTTTTAGCCATTTTAGAATGTTACCTCATCAAAAATATGCCTGGAGTTGTGTTTTGTTTCATTCACACATGTTTGAGTAATCCGTTATTATTAATCTGTCTACATCTTCAAAGCTCAAAATGCTCAGTTCCACCTTGTGATGTCATGATAGTTTTCAAGTTAAAAACTACATGTGTGAATAAAACAAAACACAACTCCAGGAATGTTTGAGCTGAGGGAACAACAAAATAACATAGATCAGAAAATAGTTTAATATAGGCCCTTTAAGTACAACCAAAAAAACTTTTCTAAAACCAGTTGTCTGGTGCCACAGTTTGACAAACACAGCTATCTGTTCTCCACTGTTGTGTCTTCATGTCATCAGTGTCTAAAGTGCCTGCTAATCGTCCTGTTTCTCCTCCACTTTTGCGTTCCTAGATGAGAGAATCTAACCGACTGAAAAAATCCTAACTGACCTTTTAGTCTGTGCACTAATTTACTTTCAAATGGTAATGACGTTGTTACATATTCAAACCAAATTGGCCTAATTGTGAAATGCATTCACTTGCAGGAGTTTGAATTAAACCCAAGATGAAAGAGTGCGAGCGAGGCAGTTTTGAGTGGTCATTTGTGGCGTATGTTGATAAATAGAATCAAATGTCAAGTTTGAGACATTCCAGGGCAGATGGTAATTAGCTGGCCACTTGGCGGTAATGAGCTGGTGCGGAAATAAATAGGGCTGACTGCATTTGGTATAAAGGGCTTTTGTTGGGTACAGAGGAGATGTATCTGTGCGGAAACTGGGCGTAGAGGCAAATTCTACCAAATTACCAACAGGTACCTTGGTTTTTAAAATTCATTTGTAAATATGCTAATAGAGGAAATGGAATACACAATATTTTAAAGGCCCATATTACGTTTTTTTCTGTTCTATGTTATGATTTTGAATGTGTGAATGAAATAAAACACATCTCCAGCAATGTTTTTGAGGAAGTAATGGCATTCCAACATGGCTTGAAGATAAAAATTTGATTTTGAATAATATAGAACCTTAAAAAAAATTTAATTTCTTTGCCCTTGAACCTGACTTTTGAATGTCTCTATTTGAACATATGCCACTATTATTTTGGGTCATAATCTAGCAGAACTCTTTATACCAGATGCCCTACCTTACTAAACTTTCACCAAGGCTAAGACTTTGGGGTTTGGGGAAAATCTGATTACGTCTACATTTGAAAAAAAAGTACAAAGTCATATGGTCTAATAGTTTGGGTCAAATTGAGACTTTGAAATGGCAAGTTATCTATCACATCTCTTTATTCCAGATGCCCTACATTACTATCTAAATATTTACCAAGGCTTAGGACTTGGAGTTTGGGGAAATTCTGATTTAACATGCCTAAAGTTGAAAAAAGTACAATGTTATACTGTCGAATTTGAGTCTGCTTTGTACATATAACCCAGGTTTGGTCAGTGGGGGAAACTGGTCTGTGGAGATGGTATTACTCTAAACTTGCCGCATTGCTGACTTTGACTCTCATCCATCCATAGCATGGCCAAAAGGTAGCATTTAATGAAGTGCGATTCGGGGAATAAATGGGGTCATATCGGAGACAGTGCAGCAGTGGTGTCTAGCATTAGCCTAGCACTGGAAAAAATAGGGCTTATTTCTTGTCCTGACAGTGTAATAAATGGAGACCTTTATATTTATCAAATGGCTGCTTCTATCTCTAGAAATGTGGCGACATGCGGGCGATTGAAATAGTCTTTTGTCTTTCGCCTTTTCACTTGTGCTGATGATACACTTGCAATCATTTGGTGCATTTTGCCTCCTCTTAAAAAACGGGGCCGCCTTAAAACTGAGGACTTTAACTGTGCGTTTAAGGATTCTGTCTGAATTGCCCCCACCATCAAATGCAATTAGCTGCTCTTTCATGTGTGCTTTATGTAATGCAATACTTCATTAGCATCATTCATTCATATTCAGCCTCGGATTATAGGCAGCAAATTCTTTATTGGACAAGATGGAACCAAGCTGCTGGAGTTTTGAAGATTAAAAAAAGGCTAGAGAGAAACGCAGTGAGAGAGATTGAATAATAAAAAGGGAGTTTGATTCCTGATGGAATTATGGGATAATTATGCTATCTGTGATTATCTATATTCCATGATGAGAGGTGATGAGGAAAATTATTCTATTGAAAGTAGACACTTACTAAGCACCAGCAACATGCTAAATGCAATTTGAACTCAAATATTTCAAAACATCAAAAATTGGAAGACTAATGTTTACAAAAATGAGTTGGTTGTTTGAAGTCATATCATTTAAAGTAAAATAGAAAGAATTGCTCCAGTGACATTATTTGTATTGCTTCAATGACCTCTTTGTATCTGGGATTTTTTTCTGGAGCAACCAATTTCAACCAGACTGCGGGTATTTATGTCAACATTGCACAGTCTTCGACACTTAGGTGTAATTTTCATGTGTTTGTTGTTAAAATGACATATCTTTTTCTCAATCATTGCACTTTTGAGTGCTGCTGCAGCCAGTGAGCCAAACAGCTATCAGCCGCCAACAGGTTGTTTTGGCCATTATATCTATCACACAGAAATAACCCCACGTTTGAGCCAAGGACTTACAGCTCTGCCATCTAATACACTTCTAAACTCTATTGTCCCCTAACAGCGCCAAATAACTGATAAGAAGCCCATGCAAGTTAGTATTACAAATCCCATTCTCCTTCCATCTCCTGTCACTGTCACTGCCTGCTTCAACTGTTCATTTTCAGTCGTTCTGTCTCACAGTCTGTTTATGGGGCCAGAGCAATATGCACTCACTGGTTTGGGAGAGGACTTGGGTTCTGAGGGCCGCATGTGCAAGTGGGCCATCATCGCCTGAAGACGCTCACGTTCCTTGGAAAGCTGATAAGAGAGAAGAAGAGAGAGTGCATTAGTGAGTATTAGAGTGAGAGGGTAAGGCAGAGCAGGAGAGACAGACAAAAATACAGATTATGAGATGGTAGGAGCTGAGATAGCACTGGGGAAGCTTCTGTAGAATGAACAAAAAAAGTTGGATGGAAGCCAAGTGAGAAACAGACATAGGCCAGTGCTCCTGGTGATGTAAGGAGAACATGAGAAGCCAGTGGGAGCTGGGGAGGGGGTGCCGACAGGTCAGGCAAAACAAATAGCATTTCATCTTTTTGTCAATAGCAGAATTTAGGTCAGCAGGGCCCTGACAGTAACAAGCTAGTTGAGCCATAAATTAGGCGGTCCTGAGTGCCTGCTCAAAGTCCTGTGGACACAGTTAGGGGGATGGAGCGCAGCCAGCAGCTGCTGAAAGGTGAAGGGGTCTTCCAAACAGGGTGCTGGGCAGCCCCGCCTCCCTGGTCCAGTTAGTGGCCCCAGCCATCGCCTATCATCAATCTAACTCAGAGGGACTGACAAGGAGTGGACCCTGAACGCCTCACCCCCCACACCCTTCATATACACGCTCATATACACTGTGTAGACCAGCACACACGCACACTCAGAGGTGTGCATGGACAGAGCTGGGCCTCATTACTATGACGGCTCTCATGGAAAAACAAGAGGGAAAGAAGGGAAAGAAGGGAGTGGGCAATGAACGAAAAGGGAAACAGACAGACAACACAAGTGCACCACAGTAATTGGTCACACTGTAAGAGCAGGCTTCAGTGGCTGCAATGTTTTCATGAGTAAGATCACAGAAAGAGGCACAGTAAACAACATGCTGCTCAGAGCTCCTGCTCTGCATTACACACAATATATGTACAAAATACAACTCTCATGGTTTAAAGAAAAGTCTGTAAAATACTTAATGGGCCTGTATAAATGAAAACCTCCTGCAGCTCCCAGTCAAATACCCAGGTTTAAAAAGAGCTCCAACAATGAGCCCTGGTCTTCTTTCACTGCTCACAATGAATCCTCCACCTGGCTCTCAGTTTGAGCCCACTTTAAACATACATATCTATTTGTTTCATAAGTCGGCGGGCGCATGTCGGCAGTGCTGAGTAATAATGTCGCTCAATCAGCGCTCTCATTATCTTGCCAGCATGACTTCTTAATAAGGTCACGCTCCACCTACTGAAAATAGTTCCCTCCTTTTGAGCTTTCTTCAGGTGCAAAGTGCAGTTAATTAACACAGCAGACCGAGAGAGATGCGCTCGCTATTAATTGGAAGGAAAAAGAGGGGGAAAAGAAAGCAGAAAATAAAGCACACATGCTTAATTCAATTAAAACAGCCATAATGGCTTTGGTTGTAAGGCTCAGGGATTCTTTTGTTTAGTGTCTTTGTTGGATTTAGCAGGTCCTGCTTGTCTGGAGGTATTAGTCAGACCACATGGTGGCCATTCTCCACTCATACAATACAAAATATAAAGTTTGACTGGGTGATTAGGCACTTAAATTAAACATGAGCTTTGGTGAAAATGACACAATATATATTCTTTATATAAAACTTTCATACAAAATGTGCAGCAATAATGAATATTATAATATTGAGAGAGAATGAAGGAAACACTCACTTGAATTTCCAGCTGCTGCACGACCTGCATCTGGACTCGACACTGAGCTGTGCTCCTGTCGTCGAGGGCGTGCTCATTGTTTAAGTGTCTAAAAGAGACAAAAACTCCATGTTAGGCACCAAATGCTAAAGTATAGTAGAAATAAAAGACTGTGATCAGAAGTGTGGAGGATGATAATTACAGTATCAAATCTACTATTGTTTTGTTTTCACAAGAAAAAAATCTGTAAAAAAAAAGACAATTATCTATAGGAACCGATAGGCACTATTGTCTCTGAGTGAAATAATGTAATTAGAAGTAACATGCCGGTGTGTGGTGCCATGTTTAACATGACAATAGCCCTGCGCCAGTTTAGATGGCTAACTTCAGTGCCCCCCTGAGCGTAGCTTTCCACAGAGAATAAAAGATGCTAGCCCTGCAGAACGGCTTTGTCTCCTTCGTTTACTGAAAACAATACACACAATTTAACACCGGCAACATCTGACACACAAAGCAGCTCTTCAACTGGAGGTGCATTATCCAGAGGCAGACATATTAAATGTATCTGGTGTGTTCGCCTCATTAGAAGGAAAAAGCCAGTCACACAGCCATAACAGTCAATGAGGGTTTTTGTCTTGATTGGATTTTGTCTGTAGGACACAAAAGAGCCTCACCATTAAGATAGACCTCTATTCCTCCAGCACACATACAGACAACACCAGCACACACACAACAGTGCAGTACACAGATATGGGGCAAAAAGGGGCTTCTAAAGTGTTGTGATGCTGGGTAATGAGCCTCTATCTAAATGATCATTGGTGACAAACTCACAAAGCAAGCTTTGAGGAGGCCTGCTTATGAAATGCCAGAGCTGCCACTTTATCTGCAGTAATTATAGGTTAGCTTGCAGACCCTTCAATGATCATTTACAGCACTGCCTCCAGTGCATTAGAGAGTACAAAATCCTCCTCTCGCCGCTTTTCACTTCAAACACACACACACTTGCTTACATTATTGTGAACTTGGAACACAGGCTTCAAAACACACTGTGCCACATAATACTCCTCATTCTTGTTTATCTGCCTTGTGCAAAACAAGACAACTGAGTGAGGAGGTTTCATGGCCTGCCAATCAAAACATGAATGCTGCCACTGCAAACACAATAGCCCTCAATTATAGAGCGCACATTTAAAACCGCTACATCTGCTTTCTGTTACCATTTCAGCTCTAATGCGCAGTTATTTTTCATTATAAATCAAGAATGAGGTAGCCTTAAAACGTGGAAAGTGGGTGGAGGGGGTGAAGGGTGGATGGGTGAGGGAGGGACAGACCGGTGGAGTCTCCAGCCCGCTGCCTAATTGCTGTTTCAGAATGCGCATGCAAAAAAGGGGCATTTCATTAATCATTTAATCACGTCCCTCGCAGGATGAGGGAACTAATGTTGCAAATACCCTTTTCATTTCACTGCCCATAATACTATCTTATGCACTTGATGTATGGCGGGTGTCATGAATTACAGCTGCTTCAAAAGCACAGAGCGAGCTGCGCGCTGTCCCTGAAGAAACCTCATTACAAAAATACAGGAGAAAATCTTTATTAAGTTTAGCCTCTTATCAGCAGCATGTTTTTTGTCTGTTTGCATGTGTGTATCTGTGTGCTCATTGTGAAAGCAGAGCTCTCTCCAGGCTCTTCTTTTCCTCCACACACACCTTCCACTGGCGGCCAGTTAGCAGGACGATTACAGGCAGATTACTACATGCATTTATAAAATATTCAAATGGCAGCGTGTCCTACTGTGCATTAATAATGCCACACAAAGACACAGGCAATGGGATGGACACAGCCAGAACAGAGAAACGCCCAGGCCTAATGTGCGCACTCTAGGTCTGAGAATGCAATTAAACTATAGGCCAGTTTTTAATTACTGCCAATTAGGTTTATGTGAATCAAAGGGGGGATATAAGGTGATTGTTTAATGACCGTGTTGCCAGTGGGGTTGCAACCATTTAAAGCTATTGGACCCTGCTGACTGCTGTTTATGTTTACAGTTTATGGCTCATTTCAGCAATATTGATTTCAGTGTTCGAGAGGGATTACCCATGTGAAGACTGCATGAGGGCCGACTGAGCCAGATCTGGGGGCGTGTTAACAGTAGAGAAATCAAAGTAAACAACACAAAACACACTTATACAAGTGTTTTTAAGCTAAGACATGGTTTAGATACAACCACTGTTTTTCAAATCCCTGATATGGGCTTCTTTGTTATTACATCCTCAAGTTTTAAAGAAAAGAGAACAAAAACATCTCATAGGCTTTTCCCCAAAGCTTTGCATATGAATATGTATATGCCATCAACATCCACTAAGGGCCTTATAATAAATCTACTCAAGCCAAGTGTGTACGAAGCATACAGCCTTGCTAATTGTCTGTGTGTATTATCAGGGGCTACGGCAATGGCCCCAGAAGAGGACAGCAACTTCCAGTCCCATACACAACAACAGGGGTAGCTTCAGGTCTGAATCCACACACATTCATTAGTCAAAGGTATACAAATGGACACCTATGCGACTGCACTCAGGCCGTGGCGCACAAACAAGCATAATGGTATGTACACAAGAATGCACACACACATACACACACACATACTCCCCCCATGGTGCTAGTGCATATATAATGGCCTTCGTTTTAAAGGTCTTGTCACAGTGCACAGACATGCGGAGGGGTAGAGGGGAGCGGAGCTATCCAGGGGCCAGGGCCTGTCTGCCTGCCTCTACGTGTGTGTGTGTGCGTACGATATATAGAGACGAAGACACTTGGCTGCTGCCTTGTGGGTTTAATTAGCAGTGGGTTACAGACACTAGCGTTCAGGTTAGCGGCGGAGCTTGCCATTTTAACATGGAGCCTGCCTTCCTGCCAGTAATAAGGAGAGTGGAGTGGTGACAGAAAGTGGAAGAGTTAAGTGAGTGTGTGTTTATGTGTGCGCTGAATCCACTGTTTCTCACTGAGGAGGAGGTCAGTGATTAAAGAGTGTGTGGGTAGAAGACAAGTGTGTGCTCAACGATGAACAGCTAACTCAACACAAGTAAAAAGGGCTGTCCATGGTTAGGCGCAATGAGGCCTTATTGCCACAGTGGACACCTTGCGTTATTTGACTTGCTTTGTTTTTGTTGATTTATGTAAAATGTTTCACAGTATGGCATTAGATGAATCGATCTACTTGGAAAAAAACAGGTGACACTACCGGGCCAAATAGCTTTTTGTGAAAAAACAAAACAAAAATCACCATACTGTGGAGCATTCAAGGCAAAGCAATAACATCTCTACTGAAACAAGCAGATGGAGGACCAAAGACAAGAAAAGTTACTCACTGCACCTTTAACTATTCAAAACAAGGTAATTAATTAGAGTTAATTTCAGTCATTTCAGTTTAGTTCACATTGTCCAACTGATCCAAAGACATATTCACAAGACACGATTGTTCTACGGTCTTTAATGCTGACAAAATAAAATGCATCTAAACACACTTGAGCTTGTGCTGTTTTGCTGCATCTAGAACAACCATAAAAAGATCATGCACATACATTAGCATCTTTTCATTCTCTAACACAAACAGACACACACACACAAGACATACACGCGCAAGAAACACTCCCGACAATATTATTTCATTTTGAACTTCAGAGAGTTAATTCAGGGAGCCAGCCACCTCGCGGCTACCTTTTCCAGGTGAGAACACTTAAAAGAGCACTGAAGAGCTATTAAATGCTGATCTTGACAAGTTTCTTCATGCAACAAAACAAAAGATGACTAAACGTGTCACCGGCGCCGCGCCAGTCTCCTACAGCGAGACGCCAGCGCCACTCGCCCCCTCCCTCCGACTCGTAACACACACCCAACTACCAACATCTAAACTGTCATCTGAATGTGACACCCTCTTTATGTAACCCCGTTTAAACTGTGTGTGTGTGTGTGTGTGCGTGTGTGTGTGCTGGCATCTCCGACAACATGAAAGCCCTCCCTCTGACACCGACAATCACTGCTCCAAGGCACGCCACCGAGCAGCCATCTTTGTTCTGATGACGGAGCCTGCCTTCTTTGTTGGAGCGTGTTTTTCATGTGCTGACTGGGTTACAGTATGGGAGCCAGCCTCTGACTTGCAGGGCTGCGTTGAAGAGGGGGCTCATTGTTCAGTTTTGTTGGAGCAAATGTTCTGCCAACCTGTGCTACCGGTGAGTCTTTTAAGTCTCAAATCGAGCTGTTTTCAACCGCTTGACTTCGGAGCTAGGCCTGTCACGGTAACACGCATTGAAGTGCGAAATACTGCCGAAGAAAATATAGACGATCAACGATAATACTGAAACTCAATTAAACTGTTGAAACAATAACCGTAATGCAGGATTAATTCTTTAAAGCTAACATCTGGAACTTTTTTTTTTTTTTTTTTTTTTTAAACCAGTAGATGGCAGATCCCAAACCCACACCTCCCCTCTCCTCCCGCTTTTCTTCTGTCGGACCAAAACTAGCACTGTCGGACAGCAGTAACGTTGTGGTGTTATGTCAGAATGCAACAGGGCTGGGTTAGCCAATCTAAATACAAATGGTAGCTTTAAACTCTTTTCCAAATGCTAAAAACATGAGCTTCAATAAATAAATGGTTAATTTGTACCTATAATGAGTCATAGAAGTTATTTATTCAACCCTCTACGACTCATATCTTATCGTAGCACAGAAAAATAGCGAAAAATGTCACACAAAAGAAAAAGGATCCATGATAAATATTGACCCCCAAAAACTGTTCCATCTATTATTCAATATATATATATAACTCGATATAGTATACTATTTGGAGCTGTGCGTTTTCTTTGGCAGTGTCTTACCAGCTTTCTCGATTCAGTGGTGTACAGCTATTGGTACAGTGCAGCTTTGCCCCTCACCTAAATAACCAGTTAAGCTACCTATACAGTGTATCCGCAGAGCACACAGGCTTACGCGGGTTTGTGTGCTAACAGAGTGAACAGTGCATGATGTCTTCTTTAAGTAACTGTAGCGGGGTGATAGGACATGATATCGCAAAAAACTGCTAATCCGATACAGCCTTGCCTCCTCACACATTTGCTCCTCCCAAGCTGCAAGGCAAACTCTCATACCTGAACTACCACACAAGCAGTGGACCGGACATCGCATTGTATGTAGGATTTTGGTTTGAGATTAAAGAGTGACTTAGAGAATCATCCCAGATTATTCCAATGAATGGGATGTACTGGAAAGTGTGTGGCGGATTTTACTCCTGGGATAAGCAAGGGCGAGTTTGAGAGCTGGCTGTGATAAAAGCGGTTGCAGCTATTGTAGTTCTTGGAGTCTTTGTTATGTGCTAATAAAGTGTAAAAACGCAGCTAATGTCCTGTCATTCTATGTTTATGGGAGCAATTTATTTAGCGGCTAATGCGGAATTAGCAAAACATGACCTAAATCCATACACTGTCTCCCTTGGGTGGACTAGTTTTCGAGTATCACTTTTTTCCCCTCTCAAGCTTATTAACGTCACCACTGTAGAGAAATGCATAATTTGGAAAATATGCCAGAACAATGTCCTGATTTCGAGAGTTTATATGAATTCACATGGACATTTACAGCCTGTGAAAAACACTCACCAGATCGTTATTTCACAGTTAATTACAAATCTAATTAGAATATTCAAATTAAAGCTTTCCCTTTCTTTTTCTTCTCTGTGTGAGTAGGGGGCCAGGGAAAGAGGGATAGTGAGAGGAGACAGAGATGGAGAGAGTGAGAGACAGAGAGGGAGGAGTGTGTGTGTGTGTGTGCGTGTGAGAGAGAGAGAGGGAGAAAGAGAGAAAAAGAGAGAAAGAATGGATATGGCAGCTAGACTCTGAGTGAGTGGCAACGTGATAACCTGTAATCGCCAATGCCGCAAACACCTTCTTCCTTTGATGTCCCCCCACGAACATCCAGGCAACAAAGCTGGCCAATTACAAATGAGCTAATTAACTAAATTGTTGATGGAGCATGAAGAGTTCATTCGCTCTGGCGCCTGCACCATGACAACAGTGAATGGGGGCTTTTGTTGAGGAGGTAAGAGTACGGCCGAGCAGGTTGCCATTGGCTTTTGACGTTGTTTTCTCACACAAACCTATCAAGGCCCTGAACAGAGGGAAACAGATTTGTTATGGAGTGGACTTGACTCCTCACAGCTTGTATTGAACTCTACAAACCGCTGTGTTGGGAGGTCAGTGTGACTTTTTATTGATGGTTTTCAGATTCTCAAATGCGATTGTGTCATACTCCCAGATGGAGTTTGCATTGAGATTACATTCCAGTTTGCTATGAAATTTGCCCAAAAGTAAATTCACAAATGTTTAACCTGATTTCTATTAGTGACTAGACCTAAGAACTTGCTGTATTGCAACAAAAATCTGTATTTGACCAATATTAGTTTTAGTTGTCCCTCATATGTATTAACTTATATAATACTATGATGCAAAGGCTGCAGAGCTAAGTAATTACATCTTCTGAGTTGTGAATGAAACTCATTTTCCTTCCTTGAACCTTGCATACCCTGATGTGATCTCTTTTTGTCTAAGAATTTACATTTTTTATATTTATTTGACTATTTCCCTCCCATGGGTTACCACATAATCTACACTCATTTGCATTTTCATTTGCCATAAATTGTACTCTGGACTCTATGAAAAAACATCTCCAAACATATCTGTACAAGAAAGTCTAGTCCAGTTCCTTGTGACTCCTTGCAAACCATTTGTCTTTGATTTTAACGTCTACCAATAAAATGCTGTTTTGTATTTCAGTGGAGAATAGAAAAATGCACTTACTTCAAAAACTGTCCAAAGTCCTCACAGATGCTTTCACAGCCGGGCCATTTACACACACCATGACCATAAAGAGGGTGGGTTCCTCCATTTTCTTCATGTAGTGAACTAGAAACATAGTAAAAACATAGACATATAACAGTTAATAGGGGAATTTATATGAAATACATATATGGTGAGGGTTCCTGGAGAGATTAAGGCAGCCTAAGTCTAGTTAAAATCAATAAAATCAGGTCAAAACCCTTGTGGTGGATGGCTCTGTAGTTCAATAGTATGGGTTACTAAAAGGTTAAGAAGAGCAGTTCAGTAAAATGCGTAAGGAATCTGTCTTAAGCCCTAACTGCCTTTGCGCCTTGTAAAACCATTATGGGGAGGAGGGGTGGAGTCTTTCAAGTAAACATTAAAAACCCAGACAGCCATATAATTTTCATCAGGAGATTAATACTGTGTGTAACTTATGTTCTTTGAGGACGGGGGGGAGAGATGGAGGGGGGACTTTTTCAAATGGCACCCAAATAAGTTACGACCCTGCCTAGACAGCACATCCTATTAAAGATGACAGTTTAACCTTTAGGCTTGGCACGAGAGCGCTGGTGTCTACGTTCTAAAATGTGAATGAAACTGGGTAGTGTATGCTGCTTGTATGTACAGGCATTTTGTTGTGTATGATCTGTAAATACTGTGGCGGAGCTCAGAGTGTGTTTTTTTCAAAGGGGCTTTCCCGCATCGATCGGTGGCGTGGTTAGTAAGCACCGCTCCTGACAATACTTCTTGTTCGATCATTATAAGACACCACACAACCCCCGGGACACAAGCAGATAAAAACAGTTTCTTATCCCCTCTCCTACCTCTCTTTATCCATCTCTCTCTCCCTCTCTCTCAAGATATCTTTTTCAAGCCTCCTTTTCGACATAGTGGAGAGATAGCATCTACTTTAAACCAATTACACAGCACTTCCACCTTCATGGCAGGTCTTTACCGAGCGTCTACGCAGACACACGCGTCGCTACCCCAAAGTCCTTATTATAATATCGCCCAGAAAAAGCCTTTGAATAATGCATGGCTCCGATAGGCAAGATGTAACAGTCGGTGTTTGGGTGCTGGCTGCATTTATCACAAGCGTAAACATCCCGGAAACGCCACTCAAGGCATCACATATTCTGTTTACATGACAAGCAAGCAAGGAAGGTAATTTACAAAGGATGAAAAGAAGAGAGGAGGCACTAAATACTTAATGTACATGGGGTTACCTTGTCTTGCTTGTTGCGCGCCTACTGTTTGATATCTGTGTACAAGCTGAGTGTGTTCCTAAACTCCCTGGGGAACTTGTTTTTGAATATTACTAAGATACTAATAAACTACTGAACAAATAAACAAAACATTCTACTTTCCCTGAAGTAAAAGCATCTCAGTTTTAACGAGGACAAACACTCGGGATGGAAAAGTCGATCCTCAGATGTTGCCTTTTCTAAATAACATTGCAAAAACAACAAGATAAGTTTGTGTTGTGCGAGCATGTAAAAAGTACAAATATACTTTTATCTCTTCTCTGGGAGCTGGAACAGTGGTAGGGCTGCACAAATTTGAGAAGAAAAATGAAATTGCCATTTTTCTTACAAATATAGCAATTCTAGAAACAGTAGATTCTGTTCAGAGTGCACATTGCAAACAACACCAGGAGCATAAACATTTGAGAAAAGTCTGAAATGAACTGATACTAATACCAGATTTTTTGTAGAGCTTTAAACTACAGGTACAACAAGATTTTTCTTTAAAATGACTTGATTTTATTCTTTGCAAAGGACATTCCATTGTCTAAATAATTGCAGCCTTTACAATTTAATAATTGAGCCACCTGGAATTGTGATTTTGATCTGATATTTTCTGCAGCCTTAGACAGTACTGTATATTTGAGTTCCTTTACTAGTAGTGGTCTAAGCTACAGGTTCAACAAGATTTTCCAATTGAAATATAGTATTTTTTGTGTTTTTGCTGAGGGCATTCTATCTAAATAACTGTAGCCTTTTGTGAGTTGATAATTGGCTCAACTCAAATTGCAAGTTTAGTTCAGTTCAGATGCACTGTTCAGTGTATATGAGCCCCTTTACCTCTCTCGCTCCCTGTCTCGCTCTCGCTCCCTCTCTCGTCTGTGGTTGAGCACGGGTGACTGTCCGTTGGCGAGGGCGTGGTGGGTGATGGGAGGTGAGGCTTTGGCTGGATTGGAGGAGGTAGTTGTATTGGTGTTGTTGGTGGAGAGGTCCAGCCCGCCCGCTGCCCCTGGACCAGTGCTGTTACTGTGTTTGATGCCGTTGTCCTCCAGGCCGTGTCCCCCTCCTCCGGTCACGTCTTTCCACAACTGCTGCAGCTCTGCGGGACTGAGGCCTCCTAGAGGGACAGAAGGAGAGGGAGGTACAAAATGTTAAGGTGATTTGTTTTGTCTGTTGAACTGTGTGAAGTGTTTTTGAGTGTCAAGGAAAGTGCTTTACGTGTGTTAGTTTAGTGGTCGAATAGTGCTATAGTTTCTATAAGGAATTAAGGTATTTCTATTAAGGTACTTTTTTTCAATTAGTCTACTAGTCAAAGGATTATTTCTGTTGCACTTTTCATTTAAATGTTTCACATGATAAAGTTTGAAATATAACAACCGAAGGCTGTCGAAGATTAAATTGTCTTTACAAAATTATATTATTGTTGGACATCAGAAAATGTTTATGCTGTTTTTAAAGTTTGGTTTATTAATGCAGCTGTCTTTGGTACAAAACTTTTTTTTAGCATGTGTTTTAGAACCAGAATAGTTCAGTTAATGATGTAATGTAATGTTAATGATTGTAATGTAATGTTAATGATAATTAACATTACATTACAATGATTATATTAGTCAACTGGTCACTGCAGCCCTAAGGTTTACATTAGTAATAGTAGTAGTAGTAGAAGTCATAGTAGTAGTAGTGGTAATAGTAGTAGTAGTAGCTGTACTAATTCTTCAGGGAGAGCGAGACACTATAAAATTAAGTTTATAAATCCATTATTGCATTCTGGGTGCATCTCTGAAATATCCATTATTATATTATATTATATTATATTATATTATATTATATTATATTATATTATATTATATTATTCTACTTTCATTTGTGAAAAAAACAAAAAACAAAACAAAACAAAACAAAAAAAACACTTCCTTTGATTTAGAGTTTTATCTTTTTCATCTATTTTAGTCATAAACTACAAATAGGAACTAATTTTCCCTGAAAATAGTGCCTCCTTTTCACCCAATGTCTTTATGTAATGTGTTTATTATCTCTTGTTCTCACTGAAGGCAGTAAACAACAACAACCCAGAGAAAGGAGGAGAGGGAGGACAGAGAGGGGAGGGGTAGCTGGGGAGCGAGGGAATAGATATAGAAACAACAAACACTGAGTTGAGAGAGAGAGATAGAGTTAGACAAAGATGAAGCCTAATCATAAAAAGAGAAAGGAATAAAGCAAAAACAGATCATGTGGAGAGTTAGGGACAAAGTGGGAGGCTCTGGAGCATACCAATGAGAGGTGCAGACAGACAGAAAGACGTACGCACAGATAAGGCAGGGGCCACAGGTGAATACTGATGATAGAAACAAAGACAGGCAAAGAAGAAGACCACAAACATGCGTCCAGATGCAAGATGGAAATCTGACATCAACAACAGAAGGAAAGACTTATACAAAACACACAGAGCATGTGGCCAGTGGAAATTCAAAATACTAAATAAATATATGACTGACTGGAAGGTGACCAGCTATAATTTTAGTCAGCAACTAAACAAGGACAGATAATCCTTTGTGTATTACAGAAACTTTGAAAAAACCCACAAGCATAGATGACAACATTGTATTTGTAACATTAAAACAGCATTGTACCTCCACTTCCAAGTCTTAGACACAGTCTGAGCATGCAAGTAAAAATAGTACATGTGACCAGTAGTGCCAGCGCTGTGGGCCTTACCTGGAGGGGGCAGGGCCTGCCCAGGCAGCGCGGCCTGGCCGGGGGCGGGCCCTGGCAGGGACAGCAGGCCCTGGCGCTGCATGTTGAGCAGGTGCTGCTGCTGCTGGAGCTGTTGCATCTGCAGGAGCTGCTGCTGGAAGACGAGCTGCTGGGCGGCCAGCTGCTGCTGCTGCTGCTGCTGCTACAGAGAGAAGAAGGAGAGGGGAGGGAGAGGGGAGAAAGAGGGGAGGGAGGGAAATTACACGAATTAACAACTGAGTGGCGAGAGGAGGGAGAACATAGGGACAGTCTGCAGCGTCTGAACTCACTCAGCTTTGACCTCAGCTACCTCTGCTCTGCCCTCCTCCTCTGTCTGCTCTGAGCTCTCAGTCCTGTTTTGGGCTGTACTACTCCACTGTTGCCTCTTCTCTGTTTGTGTGTCACATACACACACTGATATACCCAGCCGTCAGTACGTGCCTTGTGATTGTGTATGATACTAAGCCGCTAGTATAATCCCCGTCCCACCACCCCTCCACACCCTCCATGATAGTTAATTGTCTCGCCTTCGCTGATGGTCTGTTACAGCTTATGTGGCCAGAGGGAGCTGGTAGGATGAGAGATTTACAGTGTCACATGAATGTAAACGCATAGACACAGGGACTAAGACACACACATGTACACACTGCCCACTCTCCCCTCCCTCTCTTCTCTCCTCTCCTCTCAGTGTGCTGTTTATCACTGGGCCAGACAGGCTATTGCATAAGCCCTGTGCAAAACAACAACAACAACAAAATGAAAAACATCAAACCTAACCACTGTGGCATAACAAGTGAAAGTGTGTTTCAGAAAGAGAACAGTCTTGGCTCAGGGCTATTTTAAGCATTATATTTAGCAATAGTACTCACTACTTGTGCTTAATGTTAGGAGTGGAGTTTTCTCTTTCTCTGTCTTAGCTACAGCCCGGCGTATGTGCATTGTAATGTATATGTGCATGCAGCGTGTCAAGCTGGGCGCGTTTATATCATAGGAGGATCTTGGAAGTGAAGGAGGGGGTAAAACTTGATGCACTCACTGGAAAACAGTCTGCATAATGTAGTGATGAGACTCCCCTCCACCCAGCCTCAAGAGAAATAAGGCGGCAATTTCTATTCCATATTTGATGGCGGGGGCCCTGAAAAACTCTATTCACAAATCCAAACAGAAACAAAGCCGCCGGGAGGTCAGTGGCGGCGTTCTGTAGGGCCAGCATAATGGGCTGCTTGAGGAGAGGTGCGACAGACAGCGATAGACAGGAGCTGTTTTTTTGGATCAATTTAAAGTGCCAGAGCTTGTGCATTATTTCCTGGATACAGCCCCGGACTCAGCTCTCCGGGTTCGAGCGAGGTGTGATGCTCCAACACGGCTATGCAAATATAGCTTGGGCTGTCAGGCTTGTCTCCTCTCCTCTGATAGCCAAAGACATCGGGACGGAGCAGTGTCTGTCGAGCGGGCTGCCTGTCAATGTGATTTATGTGGTCTAAGTTGAGCAGGAGCGCCCTGTTTGGGTGTGTTTGTCCGCCCACAGAAACACTTCATTAGGGGCCTTTGTCAGTGGGCTTTCTCTTAATAAGTCACTGGATGTGCATATGGTTTACATAAAAGAGTAGATAGCTGTGTTGTCTGAGCTACAGCTAAGTCTTTGTGTGAGATAAACAGAATATGCAGCGAAATGCAAAACTTTCCACATTTGAGATATGGAATTTCAAGTGTTATAATATTACATATAATATTTCTGTCCCAATTACTTTGAAATAAAGGTGCATGTTTTTACAGCTGACAAAATAGAACTGAGCAACTTTTTATGATTCATTTTAAACTCTCAATGGGATTTCTGACACTGACTGTCTGACTGTCAATGTGCATAACACAATCTTAACACTTTCAAAACATGTACTTAGGAGGACTTTTCCAAAAAAATTAATCAAAACAAATCAAATCAAATGGTTGAGGTTGGAAATTTAACCCACAATGGCAAGATGGTACAATATACAACCTCTTAAACCACTATACCATTGGCAAGCACAAGTTTGTAGTTTGTAATGTCTCTAATACATGGCTTTGATGATTTGTGTGCAGTGGGCAAAGAAAGTAGATACTATTATACTGAGTCAGTAATCTAATTATTCATAAGAGTTGGTCAATATGTAACTATTTGTAACTATAACTAATAAATTTTCCTCCTTTAAAACGTCCAATCAATGGAAACTCTAAACTACATTTCACAACATATAAACAAATATAAGGTGGCTAACTTTATTACCTCTTTAGCCTGTTTCCCGGGGTGCTGCTGCTGGAGGAGCTGCAGATGGAGCTGCTCCTGCTGTTTCTTATAGAACTCTTGCAGGTGTTGCTGTGAAAACAAACAGATTCACACATGAGAGCACCACAGGCACAAACGCACCGTCAGCGCAACAATGTGTAAACAAACTGTTGTGAATTGGTCTAAACAGCGAATGGTGTGAACATAATGCAGCAATTATTTTCAAGTGTGTCACAAATGTGCTTGAAGCTATGTTCTTATTTTTCAAAGCTGCAAAACGAGCTAGTATGTCAACTTCATTTTTTAATCCTCATTGCAACATGAATACAACACAGTTTCCACAATTCAAAATTGTCATACTAAGTTTCAATACCAGAAAAAAAGGCTTGATGGTTGATACATTTTGATACCGAGCTACCGTAATAACTTTTTGGGGACTGTAATTTTCAACACACAATAATAGAACTTTATACTCAATCAAGACATTTATGAAACTATTCTAACTGGGTCCTGTTTAGCTGATTTCTTTTCAGTATTTATACTTAGCAGTATCTTGTTTCAATACCACTTTAAACATTGATTATCATCCAGGTATCAATACTTTTAACAATACTAAAACAATTACAAGTTAGTGCGGTCGTCAAGTTGAGAGCCTGGTATCTCTTAATGTCTTAATGAAGAAGAATCCAATTGACTGACGTTCTTAATTAAACAATTCTCTTTGCCTTAATCAAATCTATGAATGAGATATGCATTTCAACTCTTGACACGAGACCGCTCCAACTATGTGTGTGTGTATGTGCATGTGTGCGTGTGTGTGTGTATGTGTGTGTGTTCTGGAGCCGATTCCAAATATTACATCATCCATCACCTATCATTCAGTGTGGTGTTCAGCCCAGTTGTGCCCTACTCTACAGTCCCTGATGGATGCTTGTCAGGGAATTGATCCTGCGACACGCTAGAAACAGTTAATTAGAGGTGACATGAACAAGTGCGTCAATTTTCATATTGCTCTCTGTAAACGTGTCAAGGACGCAGGGCTGTGGTGAGCTGGCAAGAGACGGGTGGCCACTATATGTCCAAGTCTTTAGTTCTATGTAAGCATGGACCATAGACTGTATCAGGAAGTAGACTAACGGAGCGTGACGTCACCCATAGCGAGTACACCTGTTATATTGATATTAGAGTCCAATATGCAAAGGTGATAATGGATGGATAATTGCTGTATTGTGATTCAGCATTTTTATGTTTAAAACCAATTGGTCAGTCTCCATCATGAGTGACATGCAGATTTACACAGTGAAGTATGAATTCTCAAAAGAATCATAGCTTCAACAGACTTTAAGACAAGACAAAGCTACTAAATGTACAGCAATGCAAAACAAAATTGTGACCAAGGCTCTAAGGAAATCATAATATTTAAAATGTAAGTTTATGCCCTCTCAAAATGTATATGGAGAAATGTAGTGTTATTTTTTTCCTCCCCATGGTATATACAAATTTCAATGCAGATGATTTAAATACTTAAGTGTGCCAAGAATTGTAACTTTAGGGTAAGCAGGCTGTCACATTGACAATACTGAACATCTGCAGTCTACCACATACAGATGGTTAGAAGTGTATAGTGTGTATACTGTCTGCTCCACTCTACGGGCCCTCTGTGCATGTATACATGTGTGTATACTTGTGTGTATATGTGTTTGTACCTGTTGTAACATCACAGCCTGCTGTTGCTGGAGCAGGGCCTGGAGCTGCTGAGGGGAGAGCACCTGCTGTTGGAGGATCTGCTGCATCTGCTGTGGGGTAATCACCTGGGGACTCATCATGGCCACCGACACTGGCACCTGTACAGAGGGAAAGCACAACACAACATGGGTCAGTGAACCAGTGAACAGGTCAGGTTTACGGACATAACATCTCAGAATACCTATAGTTTTAAATGGAACGTAGAAATGACTTTGCAACCTAACAGTCAAAATGCAGATGTGCTGATCTGGTTTATCATTAATATCTCTCTAAATCTGAGGCTTGCCAGATAAAACAAAAACTGATATCAAGATCAACTTTATTTCAATAGCTTACAAATGTGATGTGAAGACATTATTAAATCAAACAAAGGTATGAATGTTGTCAGCTGAAAGAACTTTAAGCATCAGATAAATATGGAATATGTATGGACCAACTCCCTGACAAATAAACAAAACAAAATCCTGTTCGAGTTCAAGACCTGAAGATGAGTCACTGATTAATAAAGTACAGGTTAGCTCTTTCACACTGAATCTACTATTGGGTTATAGTATAAGCCTCTTCTCTCCATCTGAAATTAGTATATTGAATATCAACGAATGCAAGCCATTAGCTGTAAAGGAAATATAAAAGAAGGGGTTAAGAAAGGAGAAAGTTATAAAATGGAGCATAAGAGGTATATGTCAAGCCCAGTGGCATGGTCCTATTGGGAATGTAATAATTGGTGAGTGGCATAGGGGAGAGCGGGCCTCCTATGGCCGTGACGCTTGGCAGCCTGGAGGAGATGCTGAAGGACAGATGGGTGCTGTGCCTTTGTGTTCCTCGCCTTATTTTCCTGCCCGTGTCCCGCTGGGAACAGTACGGGATTTAAATAGACGTAGACCTTAATTAGCAGGACCCTTGAACTCCCCCACTTCGGCGCGCCTATCAGTGCCACAACGGCGAAACAGCGTGAAAATGCAAAAGTCTAAAGTTGATTAAAAGTACGCTGATGAAGTGGACAAGTGGCAGGCACAATCAGTGTGGTGGGGTCGGTCATGGCTGGGAGGCTGGGGTATAACCATTCATTACCTGCAAACTAGGGCAAAACATGAAGAGAAATGCGCTATATGTTTATACTAGTCTCGTCACGATAATACATTTTGAAGTGCAATATACTGCCTAGTAAATATAGACGATAAATGATTATACTGAAGCCAAACCATGAAGCAGAATTATCCCCCAGATAAGAATTCTAAATGTACAATTGTTAAACATATAATGAGCTGCAATAAATAAATAACTGACCGCAATAGGGATGTAACAACAACCAAAATATTGTGATATTGTATCGTCAAAGGCCGCACAATCATATCGTGGGCCATCACAACATATCAAATTACAAGTTTCTTTGCTTAAATTCATTGTTGTGGTGCAGCAATAGTTAAAAACAGAGGCAACCAAATAAACCATGATCCTTTGCTGTGTTTCAGACCAATCTACATGATGAAATAACTTATTAAGCACTTTTAAATCTTAATAATTTGGAAAGTAACATATTTACAGTTTTGGTAGCCCCCACAAAATATTACAGGTAATATCGTACCCTATCGTTTACAGCCAGATCTTATCATTCAATATATGATGGATGTAACAATATTTTTGGTAGGTCAGTATTTATTGTGTACAGTTTCTTTGCCCTTATGGGAAATTTGTGGTTATTTTTTGGCTATATGATGCGATTTGAGCCATAGAAGGTGGAGTTAATAACTTCTATGACTCATTACAAATGCAAACTAAGTGTTTCTTTATTGCTGCTCATGATTTTTTAACAATATTGTACATTTAAAATAGTTTTTGTGGTTTAAATCTGCTTTTGGGCTTTTGCGTCAGTGGCATAAATTAGTTTCAATATTTTGATTTCTTCCGCAATATATCGTGCTTCAAAATGTGTTATCATGACAGGCCTAGCTTACACAATATAGACTCATTGATTAAACACAATTCTGTGCTTTTAAAATACACATCTGATTAGCATGAAGATATGTATCACCTGTTTGGACTAAATCCACATAAGCAATTATTATTCACCTTCATAAAGAAAAGCAAATGAACTCAAATACAGCTAGCACACATTGATGTAATATATTTCTAAATTTAGCGTAGCGCACAGTAGTGGTCACACCACTCTCCAAAGATAATTAAAATATCAACCTGTAGTAGCACCTTCAGTGACGCTAATTGTGCTGGTGTTTGCCGTGGAGCTAGCATGACAGTAGCTAGCCTTTATGGTGTGTCAAGGGGCCAATAAGACATCCCTGTCCTCATCGCCGGCTAATCAAGCTGCCTTGATTACCTTCCATGCATGTCTGTCCGCCTCCTCCCTCCTTCCTTTGCGCTCTCTGTCAGGCCTTGACACGTCCTTGTTTAGCTCTCCTCTCCTCGACGCCTACCCCCCCACCCCAGGTTCTCCCCCCTCTTTGATTAGCCGAGACATTTGCATGGTCACTACACATTTTTCATTTTAGAAGTCATTATGCATTAGTGGCTCCTGATCGCCCGCCTTGACTAATCCTGATGAACTGAAAATCACAGCTGAAGGTCAACTTCCAGCCGGCCCCGCTGCACATTCATATTCATATTCAAACAAATCCTGCCTCCATTGTTCATTAGGGTCTTAGAGAGAAGGGACTCCATCGAAGGTAGAGGAGAAGGAGGAGGAGGAGGATGTTGTGGTACATCTCTTTTCTTCTCCGGACCCTCAATGCAAAGAGTGCAAAAGAAAATGCATTCACAATAAGCCAGGAGCCGAACAAAAGCCGTCAAAAGTTGCAAATTAAACAGTCTGTGTGTAATTATGCAAATGCGGTGCTTACACCTTCAATGTTATTAACCCTTAAAGGTACATTTGCAAGGTAAGTAATTACCCCTGCAGTCACTCCTGGTTTTGTGTGGGACGCTGTGACAATGGGCCGAACGCAGAGGAGAAACAACATGAGATGCACTCATTAAGGGTATTAATTGGATGCGGCCTTAGAGATATTTGGGTTTATGCAGAGATGCAAACCAGACGTATGCTAGCATTAACACAAACGCTTATGAATACATTTAGTGGCATTAAACATACATTTCACATGCAACTTCAAACGCCTCCTTTGTTAAATGGTGAAACTAAATGAAATACCTGTGAATGAATAATGCAAGATGCCAACCACATATGAAAAATAACAAAAGGAGCATAAAAAAACAAAAGGGTAAACAAAACCGCTAAGTTGCTTTCACTCCTGTATTAACATGTAGAGGTAATGGCGAGTAATCATCTTCATTTCGCTGGATTTCCAAACAAAAAGAGGTTGAGGGAAGGAGTGGGAGAAGGCAGGATGAAGAAAGAGGAGTGCAAAAAGCCACTGGCCCACGTCCATTGTGAAGTGCAGCACAATGCTAATTCCAGCGTTTAACTGAATGCTTTTTCTGCTTGACGTATCAGAGGCTCCGAGATGAAAGCAGATAAGTAATTGCTCTCCTGGTTCTTATTCTTCACTGACAACCCATAAATTTAATTTTACACACACGTTCATTTACATTTTCGAGTATATGACATGATAATTGCAGGAATATAACACCTCCTTTCTGCGGGATAGTGCAGGAGAACTTGATTGACGTGAGCGCTGAATTGAAAGGAACAGGAGGCTGAATTGCTTCTTCTAGAAATGATTTTGCCATGAAGGGGTGAAATTAATGAGCATTTACAAGATGATGGCAATGGCGTAAACAGGCACACACCGAGGATAGTGGTGCAGGAGAAGCCATGATATCCAATAGAGCTCTTGTTTGTTCCTAATCCAAATTAATTTATTGCTAATATGGCTGGACTGGAAATCATTTATTAGAAAATTTGAAATTAGCTTCTGGTGGTGTGAAAGCCGAAGACTTTAATAATGCAATGGGGATTCTCCTGCTCTGAATACAGCAAATCCTTTTCTACACATACCTGTTCATGTGCTTTTTTAAAGTTGAATTGCGTAACTTTTCTGATGGAGAGTCCGTTGAATGCTTTTCTCCATGGAGGTGTTACAGCTTTGTCTGGAATATTTCACTGTATGGTATTAAGCCTTTCTATCTTTATGGAGACCAAACCAGACCAAGTTACAGGTCAGATCTCTGGAGAGGCGACCCCACTTAGTCACAATGTCTGTATTTATAGGTACTTATATCCAGCTGACGGACCAAAAAGGTTACACAGTGCATCTTTAAGGTCACTGGAGAACATTACTTTCCATTATTAGTAAACTACAGCTGTGATCTGGTTGTATCCCTGTTATTATATATACAAGAATTGATGGACAGTGCGTTGGTGAACTTTGCCTTGTGGTTTGCCCCTGAAGTTGGAGAGCAAAACAAAGGACCTTTAAATTGGCTCCTGATGTGAAAACATTGCTGAGGCCCACACCAGAACAAGCAGATCATTACAGCACTCATGTGACACCCGCAGCCTGTAATCAGCCTCTCCAATGCCTCGCCAAAGGTCAAGTTTTTTACTCAAACGCTCAGGTAGTATCTCCTCCAGGCAAATCTGTCACACAGGCCCTAGTTAGGTTTAATTCTACTGGGCATTCTGGCATAAATACAAAAATATAAACTTAGAGCAGTTTACGGTCTCCAACAGACATCTACGTCTTCCACTTAGGAAGACACAAGAATACACTGACCATGTGTGTCAATTTCTCAGTCCAACTCATTGCATGTTAACCTATATTTCACATCCATACACATGTTTTTTTTTTGTTATTATCTGAGATTATTAATATATATATTTTTTTCTTTTTTTCTTCTGGATCAATAAAATTCTGTTGGAGTTAAAGGGTGTGCTCACTCGCAAACACACTAAACTGGACTTAACTAGGACTAAACCTGGACTAAACCAAGGGAGCGTGCACACTTCTTGTGTCCTCGATTGGGTTCGGTTTAATGCTGATGGTAGACCTGGTTTGGTTCTATTATAGTCCTGGTTTAGTTCTGGTCTAGTCCAAGGTTAGTCCCAATTTTAATGTGGTTTTTGTGAATGCACCCAAAGTCCTTCAGTAACATGGAACAGTGGGCTTGTCCCAATAGTAATTTA